CCCCTCACTTGGGTCTCGCTGTCTTCTCCCCCCTACCCCTCACTGGGGTCCTGCTGTCTCCTCCTCCCACCCCACCCCTCGCTCAGGTCGTATTCTCAGCAGCTCAAGGCTTGCGCGACTTGACCCGAAGGCCGGGGCCTCAGGCAGCCTCTGTCCTCCTTCCCAGAGCCCCCAACCCCGTGCCACCGGCTCTGGCTTGGACTCACTGGGTGACCGAGAGCCCGCGGGGCAAGCAGGAGGTGCCCAGGCATCCGCCCATCACCCTCTTCGCGCACGTGGGCCCCTCAGCCCGTGGCCGCCACGTGGTCACCACGACTGCGCGACCCACCTTCCCTGTGGCCTTTTGTGCCCCGAGTTCCGCCCACCCGCGTCCTGTCGACCCCACACCCCACAGCTCCCCACGCTCCGCCTCTCGGAAGCCCTCCTGGACTCTTCTGGGACATCGGCTCCCTACGCCCATGGGGGCTTTAGAGGAAGGTGTTTTGGGTGCTTTCTGTGCCACGTCTCCTTGGGGGCGGCGGTCGCCCCGGAACGGTTCTCGTCTCCTCCCGCAGCCCAGGTGCCTGGGAATCACCGGGAGCCTCACTGCCGCCGCCTCGTGGCGCGCCCGGCCCAGCCTGCGGAGCCGCCGAGCCCGTGGCTTCTGTGGTCGCCAGGGCTGAGCGCGCGCCTGGGCCCTGAGTCCCCCAGGCCGCCCCAAGGCCTGTCCCGGCCGCCGGCCCCGCAGCGGTTCCGGCCCGGGAGGAGCGCACGGGTGCCGGGACCCGTCCTAAGGGGCTCAGAGGGCGGCGAGGAGGTTTCACGCCCTTGCGGGGCGCGGTCGAGTGGGGTCACCGCAAAGGCGGAGGCGGGGCCGCGCCAGGAGCCCAGAGTCCAGCGCCCTCGGCGCGCGCCCCAGCGAGTGGGAATCCCACGCGTGCGCGCGCGTCCCCGGCCCCAAGGCCTTAACTCCGTGCGGAGACCGCGCGCGTCCGCGCGGCTGTCCTTGGAGAGGCCCCGCGGGTCTCGCGGAGGGTGTCCCGTTCTCCCCAGTCCATGCTCGCCCTGGCGGTTGGTGTCTGTGGTCTGGGGCGAGGGCCGTGCAACGGAGCCGGGGATTCGGGCCCCTTGAAATCTGGCATCTCCGGGCGGATGGCGGCGGCTCCCCCGAGCTCAGCACGCAGGTCCTGGGTCCTGCCCGGAGGGGCCTGAGGACTCCTGCGGCTCTCGGGCTCCTGGAGTTTGGGGAGGGATCTGGTTCCGCGGGGTGGGGCTGCGGCTTCCAGGAAACCTTTTTCTCTTGGGGCCGCGCGGACCCGCTGGCCATCTCGGGGAGGAGCTCTGTCCCGCCCACCCCCAGGGCTGGGCAGCCGGGGGTAGGAGCCCCCTCCAGGAGAGTGGCTGTCCCAGGAGCCCACACAGAGGGGCGCCCAGCTCTGGTCTGGCCTTCGTGTTGGCTTCGAGGTCATAACAGAGGGCTGCCGAGTAGGGGGCGTGTCTGCCAGTCCCTGCATGGGTGAATGTTGGGGTGCTCACCACTCCCCAGGCCTGTCACCTCCCCCTCCCACAGAGCACCCACCTGGAGGCGTCACCTGCCGGGCAAGCGTGGGCCGTTCATCCACCCTTCAGTCAACAACACCCACCTAGCATCCGCTTGTATCAAAAGGTCCAAATCTAAGGGGAAATTTTCCTCCCTCTCTTTCCTGGCGCCATTTCGCCTCACTGCAACCTCCGCCTCCCAGGTTCGAGTGATTCTCCTGCCTCAGCCTCCCGAGTAGCTGGGATTACAGGTGCCCACCACCACGCCCGGCTAATTTTTTCAATTTTTGGTAGAGATGGGATTTCACTGTGTTGGCCAGGCTGGTCTCGAACTCCTGACTTCGTAAACCTCCTGCCTCGTCCTCCCAAAGTGCTGGGATTACAGCCGTGAGCCATTGAGCAGCCTCTTTTTAATTTATTTCTAAAACGTTACAATTGAGGCCAATTTTTGTGCTTTAGAAGAATGGGCACCAAGCGCGGGTTATAAACGCGGCCAAAAATCATGCTTGTTAATAAACTGTGTGGTTCAAATCGGATAACCTCGTTTGATTTGTGTTTTTGCCTGCTTGGTCCGATAATAATTGAGGAGGGTGCTAATGTCTTTCCCTAATTGTAGATTTGTGGTAGATTTATCACTTTCTCGCTAAGCTTCTATTTAATAGGCCATACTGATTGGGGGCTTTGTTTTGCTTTGTGTTGGAGACACTTCTGATGGGGAAGTGGTGCAGACGTGGAAGTTGATGGAAGGAGTGGAGATCACGTGCATTCTGCAGCTCGAACATCCAGGCTTTCCAGGAAAGCCATAAATAACTAAAAGAGTATTTTTCTTAATTGCCCTGGACAGGTGCTGAGGGCAGATGGCCCAGGCTGGACGTGTGGGAAGCTGCCGGCTAACCCGATTCTCCCACACACCCTAGCTGCTCTCCTCATACGTGCTACACCCTTTCTGTGCAGTTGTCTGAGTTATTTGACGTCTGCCATGGATCGTTAGGTGGTAACCCCCGTGATCTGTGTGTGCACGTACTAATGGCTTTTCTTTTCTTTTGAGACGCAGTCTCATTCTGTCACCCGGGCTGAAGTGCAGTGGCACGATCTCCACTCACCGCAACCTCCGCCTCCCAGGTTTAAGTGATTCTCCCGCCTCAGCCTTCCGAGTAGCTGGGACTACAGACGCCCACCACCACGCCCAGCTAATTTTTGTATTTTTAGTAGGGGCGGGGTTTCATCATGTTGACCAAGCTGGTCTTGAACTCCTGACCTCAGGTGATCCACCTGCCTCAGCCTCCCAAAGTACTGGGATTACATGTGTAAGCCACCTCGCCCGCCCTCCTCTTTTCTTTTGATAGAGACCGGGCTGGCCACACGAGGTGGCTCACACCTGTAATCTCAGCACTTTGGGAGACTGAGATGGGCGGATCACAAGGTCAGGAGATCGAGACCATCCTGGCCAACATAGTAAAACCTATCTCTACTAAAAATGCAAAATTGGCTGGGCGTGGTGGCTCAGGCCTGTAATGCCAGCACTTTGGGAGGCCGAGGTGGGCAGATCATGAGGTTAGGAGATCAAGACCATCCTGGCCAACATGGTGAAATCCCATTTCTACTAAAAAAATACAAAAATTAGCCGGGCATGGTGGCTTTCGCCTGTAGTCCCAGCTACTCAGGAGGCTGAGGCAGGAGAATTGCTTGAACCCAGGAGCCAGAGGTTGCAGTGAGCCAAGATCATGCCACTGCACT